TTGCGCCAGCAAGCTTCTTTCGCGGCACCAATCGCTTTGGATATTCCGGCATTCAGTCACATGGCAGAAAGGCACGCATCGAAACATCTGAAACCTCTCATTCTGACGAACTCGTAAGCGATTGGAACTTTGCAGACGATACATATGAATGTTCCAAAGGCTTGTGCTAAAGAGTTTTGGAATCTGACTTAAATTCAAACACAGCCCGGCCAAAATCAACTCACAGCTGATGGCTCCTTTTGCATGCATATTGTGGGTTTCTGGACAGATACATCTCGGCTCATCAAAGTCTCATGTGCTTCGAGAGTGCCCCTCCCAAAACATTGAAGATGAACTCCGCAGCCTGGGCCAAAAACTGCAATCCACAGCACCAACGCTTCCCTTGTGTCCCACAGCCTCTCCAATCCTTCTAGGCTTGAGTTCTTCACGAAGCATTCCCACGCCTGTCTTGCACACTTGCAGGATGCTCAGCTGCACCGCTTTGCTCACCGAGGCGCTCCTGCAAACCGCGCCTACAAATGCACGTCCTACTGATGAACTGCGAGGTCACAACCCCTTAATGCTCGCTGTAATGAGAAGGCTGCTCTGTTTCCTTGCTTCTTGTGGCCGCTCGACCTCAACTCAAAGCCAGCATCAGTCGAAGTAGAAAGCAGACCTCTTCTCGCAGAGGACGTCAATGAGAAGCTGCCAAGCCGCATCTGTGACATCTTCCTCGGCTGCTTGCTAGCAGCATAGCTGACATCTACGGCGATCGGTATTTCAGGTCATGCCTCACCATGAATAGTAGCACTAGCAACTCCATCTCCTTGGTTGCCTCAGAACGCTAACATTGAACGCTTTGCAGCATTGCAGTTCAATGCAGCAGCGTAGCGGGCGAGCCCACAAAGACCTGGTCGTCCAACATCTGCACGATGAGCTGCGTGATGCCTCAAGCAAAAACCGCGCTGAACATGGGCAATGCTCTGATAAAAAGTGTGTATTTCGTGGGCTTCCCCAGAGCTACCCCTCTAGCTACCCTTCAAAATTAGCCTGACTGTTTCTGCGAATCCACCTGCTACCCCTCTAGGGGGCCTACAGGCACCCTGTGAATTTCATAGGGCTTTCCCATTTTCTTTGAAGAGCCGCGGCCAGGTGCTTCCAGGACGTAGTGTCTGCTATCTCACACTAGCATCCAACAGTGCGTTGTAGACCTCGGCACATCTGCAAGGCAAAACGGCATCAACGGATTTCCTGAAACAGTATTGACCATGCCATGCCCTTCACTAGAATCTTTGGCCAACACTCAAGTAAGAGGTGGACGACTAGGTGAGGTTTCGGTGGTGCTGGAAATCAGCTGCTTTCCTTTTTGAATGCGGGTGTAGCGTCCGCGTTTCAGGAACTTATTGCCACAGAACGTCTCTCGACGATATTCCATCTGCTGTTGCAGAGTCAGGCAGATTCCCAGATTAACGGACCAGAGTGCTAACTAAAGTAGTGGACCAGAGCGATGGCTGCTAAACTACACGACCAAGCCAATGAGAGGTTCTGAAACAGCAAAGCGTCCCACTGTTGTGGACACTAAACAAAGTATTCTCGGTCATAAGGATCTCAAGACCAGGACCCCATTCTTGTTTGCGTTTGCTGTTCAATTCCCCAGACATTAGAAGACTGTTCTCTCCTTGGAACGAAACGCGTTCGAAGGTTTCAAAATTCAGAACAGGAAAACTAGATGTTCCCGCACTATTCCCCCACAAGAAAAGGCCTCAGTGGGATCCGCCGAAGGCGTCGGGAGCGCCCTCATGTTCGCCTGGCCAAATCAAGGCCAGCTTCAACTCGGAAGTTGCAAAGAGGCGAGGGTTTGAAGAAAGCTGGTTTAAGGTACATAAACGACTTGGTTTCACCGTTTTAGAAGGCCTGTAGGTTCCAGGAAGTCGCAAGCATGGTTTTATGAATGCTTGAGGGGCCAGGAGAGATAGGTGGTAGGCAATCCAGACCCTCCAATCTCGCTTGATGTCTTCCCCTTCAGGTGTTCTTCAGATTTCTACAGGCACTTAGACACCTGCCCCATAACCACGGCACAACAGGATGGATACGGGCGTAGAGAAACTCAAGCTAGGCTCGTAACTGGGGTCTTCCCGATCCAAACGGCTACCCTCAAGTATTCTTTCCCTGCTTCATGCTTGGATCTTTGAGGATGGTCGGGACACGGGGCATGGGGGGGCATGATTCCACCATCATCCTCTCTCTTGGTTATGCGCCCGGTGAGGGAATTGCAAGTCTCAGGGTCCATTAGTGCAGAGCCGTCCGGGCTTCTGGTTTTTCCAAGAACAGACTGGACAGCTCCGCAGCTCCTCCGTCGCATGAGGCCTCTGCTTTCATGGCCGGCTCCTCAAACAATGATGGATGCGAGCTGCTGCCTCCAAATACGGCTGAAGAAACTACTGTTAAAAATACAAGAGTGACAAAGAATACAAAGATGATCAGTATAAAGACTCACAACAACTCCCCTATCAGATCTTAGACACAAGACGAAATTTCAGCATGATTCCGCCTCCGGGCGTGGCCCACGGGCAAGTCTAAAGTCGCAAAATAGCTAGTCGCATGTCCCACAAAGGCTTCATCACGTTTATCAACACAGCATGCAAATCATAAAGCACCCAAGAAAATCACCAAGGCCTCATGCTTCAAAGATTTTAAAAATCTGCGGAGCCTGCGATGGCCTCTAGAGGGATCGCCACCACCGTTTCGCTCTGCACAGTTCGCATGGCCACGCCTAGGCCGGCAGACTTCAGGGTGAGAACCTGGAGTTTTAAGGTTTTGAGCAAAAGAACCTACGTGCCATCCTCTGCCAGCTTAGCTTCTTCTGCACCAACTTGGCTTGGGCAGCGACTGTGGCAGTACCAGGCAGCTGGCAGAAGGAACGTCTCCATTCGAACAAGGTGCCGACCATGCCAAACACAAAGTAGCTATGGACAAACTCAATCCGCTCCTCCGCACACGGGCCAAGCAAAGGTGCACGTTGCGTCTAAAAGTGAACACTTTGCTTAAGCTTCCTTGCGCTGTCTCCTACTCGCCACAGGAGTACTTATACCAGGCTCAAACACAAACCAAAGGGAGTGTGTGTGTGTGTGTTGACTGCGTCAGATACTGCTATGGTTGTCCATTGTCCGGGCTCAATCTGCAAAACACTAAGAAGGTTGGGAGCGGGACTTGCGTATGATGAATCATGCTGAAGCCCAGGTAGATCCCTAGTAACCTTAAGGGGCAACTGGTGATTGTACTCCAAGCCTGGTTGATAAGGGAAGCCGCAGCACGACTAATCATCAGGCCTTTACGCTCCTGATCCCTTCATCAATGTGTTGCATGCTCGGATCCACGGTTTTTCCGTGAAAAGGGTTGATCCCCAAACCTGCGAACACTTCAACCGCTTCAATCTCAGCCAAACGAAATCGCTGACATGCTGACACCGCCTTTTTCAAGCCCCCCAAGATGGGGACGTGCACTGCAGATCCTCACGGAACCTATAACGTCCTCAAGTTTCCTTGCTGCGCCCTAAGTCTTCAACCCCGGTCCTTGAGCACCGAAGGGTCCAAGCGCTGGGGGATGGTTGCCTGAGCTCCGGTGGTTGAATATGAAAAATTAGGGTTTAGGGTTTAGGATTTAGGGTTTCTATCTGGGCCCTTGAAAAATTCGTGGCCGCATTGCACACGGACGATGAAAAGGAAGTCTACTTCTGACCACTATACAGCTGGGGCACTTAGGCTCTGGGCCGGTTGGTTGCGAGTTTTGAGTTTTTTTTCGGCTCGCAGATGGTTGGTAATCTTTTGGATTGGATTGAAGCTTTATGCATCTGGGGATCTAAGGGCTATCTAGGCGTTGAGAGGGCGTTTTGCAAGTTTCGGATTTAGAGGCTCCAGATCACGCTTGCGGAACTGGGTTTACAGGCCAGGCTTTAACTCCGCGAGTCTCAGTTGCAGGGTAAGGGAGGCAGAGTTTGGGGCTTGAGGTCGTGATTGAGGGAGTAATTCGTGGGGTTGACCCGACTCCTAGCATATAAGCAGTGTTCTGGAGTTTGAAACCTCCAACACCCATGATGAAAAGCTACCATTCAATGTCTCCACATTTTGTCGCACTAACCCATCGACCCCGGGTGCAAACCCGTGAACCTTGCTCCAAGCGGCGTGAATGCGGCTGTCCAGGCGTCCCTCCACCAATGCCAGCATAGCATCCAACAGAAGTGCTTTCCTCGGCGAGGCAGCGTATGGCTGATATTCTTCTGCCATTCCGACTCTGACGAATACGCTTACCCGACAGCCGCGCCTCGGAACGGCAGTGGCTTGAACGCCAGCCCCTGGCCCTGTCTAGCTATGGAACCCGCAAGGCCCGCAAGAGCCAAGATGAGCCAAGTCGGCCAAGCCTCAGAGCGGCGGCTCCAATCATTGCAACGGACTGCGCGTGGGACGGTCGCCCTTGTCTCCAAGACCGGAACAGCCGCGGAACACGTTCTTGACCACAGAACAGGTCGGAATTCGCAGCCGAGACGCTATGTTTAGAAGCAGGGGTTAAAATCACGGCGTCTCTGAGCTACGTAGTAACTTGCCGCTCCGCGAGCCAAAGGGAAAGGGCACGAGAATTCTTCATGCCATGTGTCACATATCTTCCAGTTCCACAAGCCAAAGCGGGGACTCTCATGGCTCCGTCTGAAGTCGCACTGCCATGGAGTCGGGGGACCTCCTCACAAAGGCGGAGCTTGGCGGCCTCCTCAGTCGGCTCCTCGGGCTGAGAATGCCACGCAATGCTCGGATTACCTCCGTCACGGGTTCTCCACGGAAGTCCTCGTTGAGAACATCCGCATGCCGGTTGTTGGCGTAGGGATTCCCGGCAGGGCCTGTGGACACTTTGATGTATATTTTTTCCAAGACACCGTCATATTCGCGCTGTAAATGCAGACAACAACACATCACGAAGCGATGCTTTCAGACGGCCTCCCATAGCCGCAAAACGTGAGGGATCTACAACCGCTAAAGCTCCGTGACTCTGCAAAGCTGCGGCATATTCAGTAGTGGTGTCAGAAGATCTTTGCTCTGTGTTTCTTGCTTCCGTATCTTTTGTCGGCAGAATGTACACCTCCAATTCAAGCTTTATGCCAGACGTTGTTCGACTCGACTGTTATTTTTGGATCGTAAGCCTTACACCACAAACTGCATCCGCGAATATCTCAACACCTCCAACCCCCCTATCCCAGCGAATCAAAAACTCATTGAACTCCCTCGCTCCGGTATAATATTATGATATTCGTTGCGAGACTACTACAGAGTGCACCAAGGGCTGCAGCTCAATAACCCTTCAAACGGCTGATCCACCAAGGTTCGGGATAACTTTTCAGATGCCCCTTACAGTTAGATGCTACCTTTCTCACGGCTCGCTGCAAGCTGCAAGCCAACGCTCCCAACATCTCTATCCATCCCTGAAAACTCCGAAATTTGCTCGGGTTTGCAGGCTCTGCGACATTTCCGAGTTACCACATGCTTTGCCACTCTTTCTCTGCCTTGCGATGTGACACTCCGTCCGAGCACATTTGCTGTGGAACGCAACAGCCGCGGATCTTCTAAATGCTGGTCCGAGGCTCTGAATGCAGTAGGCTAGTGATAACAATAATCCTAAAATGCTTAATTCGCACTTTGATGCGGAGCTTCCCGGTCATCGGGAATTGTGGTTGACGGCTCCGTTTGAGAGCTCTAGACTGGAGTCTTCCGAAAGGCAGACCTGGGCGGCAAGCCCAGGATTGCGGCTGCCTCTACAGATGATAAAGAAGATGCACTAACGGAACGACCATTTCGCTCTCCCCTGCCCAGAGAAAAGCGGCGCAGAGACCGCTCTGAATTGCTGGAAGCCGAAGGTGAGGTTGGTCGGCTTGGAGAGGTTGATGAAGAGGAGGCCGCGTACTGTGTGAGAGGCTTGGATTCTTGCACCGGCTGCAGAACAGGCACAGTCGTCCTTGCACGGTGAAGCACGGGGGGCTCCACACCCTCCGGCACATATATGTCATGCTCCTGTGCAGTCCAGGTCACATTGTCAGAAGCCTGTGCTCATGCCTACGACTTGGTCTGCCCGATTTGATGCAAAGCCGGGTCCTACGGGTTCGCTACAACCTCTTTGCATGAGATCCATTCATATCGCTCTCCTCCTGAGGAGGTGCCACGGCATGCAAGGGCGCGCTGCTCGAGCGTTCTGGGAGCGCCACCTTCAACCACCAAACATGTCGAGTGTCTCTCGGGTTAGTGTTCTGAAGTCACCCTGACATCCCTGAGAGATCCGTTTGAAGCATCAGGCTTTTCAGTTTGAGTCACTTGTATGTACAAAAAGCTTACCGCCACAAAGGTGCTCTTACCGTGCCTCCACGGAATCAGGTGCCGGTGCTGGCAGAGTAACATCTACCATCTGGAACGTTGTCAGGTCAGGGGAAGACGTACAAGTCTGACCCGGCCAGTGCGGAACGAAGTTGCTGTCGGAAGGGGCCTTGCGAATCTGATCTTGATACCACTGCGACAGCTGCTGCTCTTTGCTTAGCTCGAAGTGTCGCTGGAGCCGCAAGCCCCCCACGAGAAAGAAAGCCCAGAGGATAAGAAAAATCCAACGAGATGTGCTCTCGCATGCCGGTGGATCGCACCGAGACAACAGGCGGCCGACATGTTCCAGAGGTGCCTCGTGTTTGACATCGCCGCGTAGCAGCATCAATGCCAAGCACAGCCACCAGTGAGCCACGAAAGCCAGTCCGGCACTGCCTGGGGGCAAAAGTGCATTTCCGCCTCCCTCTATACTCCAACCAGAACGCAAACTTACGCGAAGAGCGCCTTACATGTGTGCCGCATGAATGTCATGACTGCATGTGCACCGCATGTCATGCGCTCTGCGCCTGCCATGGAGGCCAGGACATGCAATGCTGGCTTCGGGAAGCGAAGGCACAGGCAGCCTCCCAGCAGCCCTGCCTTGGAACAGCAAGTGACCCCCCCACACGTCAGCTTTTCTGTCCAGCCTAGCTTTACAAAACAAGCCTCAATAACGAGCTGGAGCTTGACATTCGACCACTTCAAAACAATTAGTCTAACAGTCTCTGAGTCGTCTCCGACTACACCTTGCGCAGCGAGCAACTCAGTGCCAGCCCAAGCCGTGGAAAATTGTGCAGCCGTGCTGCAGACAACTGCCACCAACTCGCATCGATGTGGCTCGAGCCACTCACGGACTGTGCCTCATTGGGCACATGCAGGGCGACAGTGAGCTGCACGATGTGCTGGACCATAACACCTTGGTTCCGATTGAAACCATGTGAGAGCCATAGAGTCCAAAACGGCAGAGAACAGCGATATATGTCTCTGCCATGTTCAACAAAAATCCTGTGGCATCTTCCCCGGCCGAAAGCTTTTAGGCAGCTTCTCTCCATGCTCGAGACAAGTGTTCTAATTATAAGGCGAATGGGTTGGCGCAGCATCTGTCCATTGAGAAAAAGACTAGGTGTAGGCCAAGGGAACTCGCAAGCGATCCGACGATGTATGCCGCGGCTTCAGGAAAGAGTGCCTCAAGACAGGTCGTTTCCGAATCAAGACAACGCTCGTCTGACTTAACTGCGTTCTTGGACGGAATCTCCAGAGCCGTCTTCAACTGCTTCTGGCAGAGGAAAGAGCTATACCCAATCCCCTGAACCCTTCTGAATTTGCAGGCCAGATCACGAAGAAAGCACCACCTTGGCAAGCGACTGCCAAGGCAAACTGAAGCGATTTCTGAACGCGGACGTGCCTCAGTGCACAGGGCAGGTTCCAGGGCGATGTGACAAAAGGCACCAGAAGTTTTCTAGCGTTTTCCTGTGGTTTTTTAGGCAACCGTTTTTCCAGCCTGTCCAGTTAACTTCTCTGTTTCGGGAGGTTTGAACAATGTTGAATTCATTCGCATGATGTAGCTAGTTTGCCGTGCGGGCCTGAGCCTGGCCACAAGATACCGGTGCATGGCAGCTTGGCTTGGCTTGAGCTCTTGGGAGGCAGGGCTGAGTTCCCAAGCACCACTGCCAGCCAAACCGACGGCATATCCGTTGACTCTTGTAAACAGTCTTGACTTTATCTTCATCTCGGGTTCAATAATGCTGCCGGTCTTGATTACTGCGGCAACATCTGAAAACCGCTTGGCCTGGCTTGGCTTGGTTTGGCTTGGCTTTAGCTGGCATGGGTTGTTGGGGAGGAGTGGGGGGCGGCTGTCATGCACAGCTGCCAGCGAAAGACTTACAGCGTGAACGCCAAAAGACATCCTCCTTGTTGCTAGTGACAGTGGAGTGGCAGCATCTAGAAAATCTTGAACGGTTTGGTTCGACCTGGCATGTCTTCAACACCGTAAGAGGGTTCAGTCTGACAAGCGTCATGTTCTTGTGCGCTTATGTCAATTACAGTTTCAAACATATCAACCAAGTTAACCCCAACAAGAAACCCATTTCATGCTTCTGTGCTGTTCGTCCCTGCACAAGCAGCAACTAAACGGCAGCATCCCTACGTGCCTGAATCTCTGTCCCGATTTACACACTCTCAGTCCGGCTTTTATGATAGCACTGGTGACGTGTTGCGCCGATCGGACTGGACACTGACGTGCTCCCGAACGTTGCAATTGCTGTACATGGCAGCATCTGTGTGCTTCGATGTGTTGGGATGCTGTGCATTGGTTTGGTTTGAGCCAACACATGAATCATCACGAATCCTTTGGGTTTGGGGTGGTGGACTGGTATTGGGTTTGGGCTTCATGGCTCCGATCATGATCACGCCCACGGCATACTTTGCGCTTGCCGAGGAACCCGGAGCCGAAGGACGGCGCAGTGCAGGGATGAAGCACCCAACCTAAGATCTGCTCAGTCTGCTCCTATCCCCGTCATGATCTTTTATAGCGAAGGCACAGAGGCTTATCGCCGCTCCGAGGACGAACCAGGAAGCTACCTGCAAAAACGATCAAATGGTACTCAAATTGAGCTACGGCCCAACACAGTTTGCAGTAGTCATGGAAGTCTGCGTTGTGTAAATTGGATGACCATGCACAATGGCTACTTTGTTTCAATGACCACAGAGTACTTTGTGCTGTTTGGAAGGAGTCGTGCCCTCCAACGATGTCAGACGTCAACTCACGCCAGCTGGGCAACCTTAGATCACGCACCTTGGGACCCGGCGCACCACGGAGAGCTCCGAAACGCAATAGCGTTGCTGCACCCCTGTGCACCCTGCTATACCCTGCTCGAGGACTGGATGTTGTACAAGCTATAATGCAGGAAGAGGAAGCAACAGAGTGACAGGAAGAGCAAGAGCGACCGACAGGGAGAAAGAGGGAGACTGAGACAGATATACCGCGAAAACTTGACTACCAGGAAACAAGCGCATGCTGCATGAGTCATGAGATGTCATGAGACACAGTACGTCTCCAATCTCGGGAACTTCCAACGTGACGGGTCCATCCCCTCCCCGGAATTTGAGATGGCAATTGGCCAATACTTGCTGCCACTATCCGGAACCGAACGTTTGCTGCAGAAATAAAATATCTACCTGCAGTGCGAAGCTGACTCTTAAACTGTTGCACCTGGCAGGGCTTTGTGCTCTCGGCTAGAAGGAAGCCGCCACGCAGCAAAGTAAGCGAGGAGGCCAGGGCCAGCAGAAGCGCCTGGATGTGCGAGGTCTGTCCAAGCTACTTCGGCATTTAGGTTCTATGAAATCACTGTGCGACACTGATGTGTGATGGTGACTTCAGATTCGAGCTGTGATTCACACTTCTCTGCATCTCTGGAAAGGCCATGAGCCCATTCTCCTAAACTCCTAAATCATGTTGATCTGAAATGAGCTTGCAGGTGATCAAGCTTGCAAGGTTGACCATCGGCTCGCACCGGTCAGCCTTGCTGCTTCCCGATGCGTAGATTCTCGGGATCCTGTTAAGGGCTCGCCTGGCCCTGGAAGCCGAAGGCGTGCGTGAAGGTGTGGCCGACGGCTGATCCTTAGCAAAGCTACCGGCAGAAGAAAAACGACACCAGGGCCCGGAGCAACGTGTCCGAGTCACGGAGCTGGTACGCCCACAGCTTGTCTGGCGACAGGCGCCTCTCGACATCCTGATGGCGAGAGTGTCACACCTAGAGCCCGGAGCTTCAAGAAACCCCGCCTCGTCCGGTCCCAGACCGAAATGAGCTATCTTGCGGAAGCTGGTGGCCACGAGGCCATCGTCTGAGAAGGGCCGGACAAGTCCCGGCCATGCCTTGAATAAGCGAGAGCTCCGGGCTCTGCTCTCACTGCTGTCTGCGGCCCACGAAAAGCGCAGGCTACACAGCCTTCACAGCTTCCAAGCGGCAAGTCGAGACGTAGAGAATCCCAGAAGCCAATAACCCAGGGTGCAAAGGACGACGACTTGCAGCCACTTCTGTGCCCGGCGCTTGCTGCGAGGCATGGCGTCCATCCCGTGATGTCACTGCAACGTACCAGGCGGTGAGCGGCGAAAAAGTACACCTACTGTAGATGCTGTGCAGTTGCTCTGATGCTGCAACATAGCACCAACAAGCTAGATGGCTTGGCTGAGAATCACTGCGGGTGAGTTCGGGGATTGTAGAAAACAACTGGATAAGAATGGTCGCCCAAGCATCTGGAAGGTTGGCAAAGCCCTTTGACTGACCGTCGCAGAACACGAGGCTGGCTGGATTTCAGCTCGTGGGCTGGTGCGTCCGAAGAAAACTATGGGACTCTACTTCTGGGCCTCCGTGTTGAAGGCCGCAGAGCGAGCGCTTCACCATATCACAATGCCAGACGCCCGTGCCAAGATCTCTGCTCGCTCCTCCTGTAAATAACAATCGTTTGGAAGCCGTTGGAAGCAGTCACCACGCTGGATCCATCAGAACACAACATAAAAGATGACTGAAAGATGTTCCAGCCCCACCTGCTCTCGCTCCTCACTCAGAGACCGAGTCTGTGAGGGAACCTCACCGGCCGCGAGAGTTTTGACCGAGGATCGTAACCCGGACCCCTGAAACTCCGAGGGTGGAACACCTTGCACCCAAATATTCACATTTCTTAGAGCAAAGATCACTGCTGAAATAGATGGGTGATGCAACACGTGCAAGCGCACTCACCTGCAAACCAACTCGTACTCAATCGGTTTCCGTCATTCCATATGCTGGATTTCGTTAAACCCCAAGCATTTTGCAGCATCTTTTCGAAAGCATAAGAAGAGTTCGCTTTGTTGATAATAAACGGAACGTAAGGAACACATCTATCCATGCCAGGAGACTGTAGAGTGTGCCCGCACTGAATTCAAAAGATATGGTCTCAGCATAATGCCACATGTGATAGATCAGAGCCGTGTCTTTTGCATGTATATGCATTGTTTTTCATTTAATTGAGTGTGGGGGCAATGAGTGTAGC